CCGGGATCCGCCCAGCTGCGTCACTGACAGCTGGCTCTGCCTATCTAGAGACAGAGACAGCTGTACCCGCCCCCTCCCCCGTCCGTTCCGCCAGTCAGCGCTGGCGGATCGGAGAGGGGAATCCAGCCCCTCCCCTGTCATGGCAGAGAGCCGTGACAGGATCGAGAAGTGAGCGAACGCCGGCATGTGTTCACTCACCTCCCGATCTACTGAGCCGACCTGTGACAGTCTCATTGTCACAGGTCGGCTAGAACTATAAGGTGAGTGAAAAGCACCCCCCTCATAGTTCTCCTTTTAAGGCTATATCAGGGGGTCTAATAGACCCCCCTAATCTTACCTATGGACCTAAATGAAGCTCCCTGAGTGCACCCAAAGGGTTAAACTGGAACAAACAAGGAACCAGGAAATGTAATTCCCTGGATTTTGTCATTTGATTGCGGATTTATTTAATACTTAGGAAGGGTTGGGAAGAATTACCGAGATATTATTTATCTTGAGGGAGTTTACACTGAGAGGCACAGCTGGCTTCATTATATATAAGAGGCATTTGGTAGCTCAATTTTAGACTGGATGAAGGAGACGGAAACATTTCGATTCACCAGGTAAACTCATCTTTCTTCATTGTCACGTGGGACCGACCAGATGACCACATGAAGATAAGGGCCAGCTATAGGTCACATACATTATACATCGTAAACCCCAAATATGTAGATCATTAATGTATTTTTTATGATTTTAAAATGTTAGAAGGCAATAATATGTTTTTCTATATCTCATTTGTAGGCACCTGATCCATCCAAGGATATATAGGTAAGTACAATGTATGGGCAAGTCTGCTTTTGACTCATTGGTTTATGGCTCTTGATAGGCAGAGCCAGCTGTCACTCACACAGCTGGGCGGATTCCGTCATCTACGTCGGGATCCGAACCTGTCACGGCTCTCTGCCATGACAGAGGAGGGACTGGATTCCCCCCTCCCCACTCCGAACCACCAGCGCTCCGTATGTATCTAGTGAGGATAACATCATATCTTTGACATAATCCATTCAAAAGCAATCCCTTTCATTCTTATCTAAACATATGGTTACTACTACTTTTACCGTGACTTTTATCACCTTAACCACAATTCTTCTCTCCCAGTCAATCCACTACCATTGCTTCCTTTATTTATAGGGGAGGGGGAACATTCCCAATGTGTATTGTACAAAAACTATTTTAGTGTTGGTTTCTCAGCCTTATCCAAATACCTCCTTTCCCTTCCCAACTTTCTTAGTGTCTTCCTTCCGGCGCTGGGACTGTGCTGGGCCCCCTAGAGGCCCGAGGCCCTGGTTCGTCCACACCGCCTGCACCGGCGGTAGTTCCGCCACTGTTCCTCACTCTATTTTGTGTTTGACTTAATTAGTCTAGACTAAAGTGTCTATGTGACAGTGAAACTCCCTTTCCCCCCACCTCCCTCCCCTAATACTTGTGTTCTTATCATTATTGTGTTTCCAAAAAATATCCATTAATCCATGTACCTATTGTGAGTATATTCTATGTTATACCCATCACAGTGTAACCTACCATCTTCTCGATCCTGTCACGGCTCTCTGCCGTGACAGGGGAGGGGTTGGATTCCCCGCTCCAATCCGCCAGCGCCCCCCTGGCAGGGGGCGGGTACAGCTGGCTCTGCCTCTAGATAGGCAGAGGCAGCTGTCACTCACGCAGCTGGGCGGATCCCATCATCTACGTCGGGATCCGTCCCGGCTGCGGCGGTCTCAGAATTCCGGGAGCTGTAGCTCGCGATATACCGAGCTTAGGGTGACGGGAGGACGCTAGTTTGTGTCCTCCCGTTGGCCTAAGGAGAGCTATGGGGAAAAGCCCTGACCCTATAGTTCTCCTTTAATGATTACGTAGATGGAAACCCTAACTGGATGCCCTTTTTTTAATCAATTATTGGTTTTATGTTTTTTTCATCCTTTGTTGCATCTCAGTGGTGCTGATCTTGCTGTGGACTGGCTTCCATATAGTGACACCAAAGGACCATTCTTGCAGAATGTCTGTCAGTGTGGCCACTTGTAGTCTCTGTCAGGGGTGATTGTGACAGAGCGACGATGTATGAGCACAGTTGGCCAACAGTTGTCACCCTTTAACAGGAAGTCCATGAACAAGGACCTTCATGGCAGGATATCTACGAAAGCTGCAGATGTAAAAACTTGGCTGTCTGCAATTATATCAGCAGGGCCGGATTTACTCTCTGCCGCCCCAGGGCCAGGTTTCCGCAATGTGGTCTATAGGATGCAGTAAATGGGCAGGGCTTGCACACTGACAGATCATTGGTCCAATAGTGAGTGTTCATTTTGGTAGGAGGGGTGGTACAGATCTTTCCTGGTTTTTCTGCATCTGAACCATTGGTCTTTAAAGAGGAGAGGTGGAGCCTTCTTTGTAAACTCACAGGACATTTGTGTGCTATTAGGGGGATGAAATAACTTTGAATACAAGCCGTTCTGTACTTCTCTCTGTCACATGACACAGGCACAGTATGCTCACCATGGAAGTCTTGTTAGAAGGCATATCGTCTCCTGCAAGTCTCCTACACTCTTCCCAACAATGCTCTTCTGCCAGCTGAGAGGCAGAGCATCACATACCAGCCATCCGTGTAATCATAAATGATTGATCGTAGTTGCGTGCGAAAAATAAAGCTCTATCTGTCCTCACATAATGGTATAAAATTCATTTCAGCACAGCGTTGCGTGACGGAATAAACGTCAAAGTACCGCAGCGCTGAATACTGAAAGAGGGCCTGGCCAGGAAGGGGGGGTGTAACACCGCGGTCTTGAAGTGGTTAAATGATTTTTTACTTTGAATGATAAATTGAGATTATAAAGGAAAATATCTGGGGAAAAAGTATTTTTGGAAACATTTACATTTATTTATGTTGCATCTGTAGCCAAGAAGAATGGCGTTTCTACACCTGGCCACCCTGTGGTGGATCATTTCTGCCATATCTGCTCAGAATCTTGATCCTGGTAAGTTGTACTTTACTGTATACTGTCTACCACATGGCTTCCAGTTTTCTAGGCGAGAGGCTCCTCAGCCTCCGCCTAGCACAGCTCTGTCAGTTCTCACACCAAGCAACCATTGAGGTGGGGTGGGCGGGGGCTATAGCCGCGATGGAGCACCATCCATACGTGCATTGCTTACAGCTCCCTTGCATACCCTGGAGTGACCACATTCTGGCTCCCGGCACCTCTACGAGCGTGCATGGGAGCCGTACAAACAATACACATATGGATGGAGCTCCGTCACAGCACACACTGAACCCCAGGCTGAGGATCCAGTCCAGTTTTCGTAAGGTAGAGAGACTGGATGGACCTTAAAAAAAAAATATGTGTGTGTGTGTCTGTCGGGTGTTTTTGAGGACCTGTTCACACTAGTACGGTGCGTTAATCACAAAGTCCCATGTGATCGATTAATGCACTGTACCATGCAAGCACACCTACCGTGCGTTCTGCTGCGTTGTTTTCATACCATTCATTTATATGGCACCCCAAATGCACCTCCCACCCACAGTTAGGTCACCTACGCCGGAAAGTGCGCTCCATTGCAGTGCGACTCGGGTCGCGACTTAATGACCAAAGACAAATGTGGGTCCCGAGGTTACACGGGTTGAAAACCACTGATCTAAACCTTGGATGGAAGCAGTCATACTGTATCCAAGTGCCCTATAAAAGTCTGGGGAGAGTGGATTTTAGTGATGGATTTATGTGAATGACTTATGTGGAATGGTTTGCCACAAGTCATTCTTTTAAAGGAGAACTATGGGGTCAGGGCCTTTCCCCATAGTTCTCCTTAGGGTAACGGGAGGACACAAACTAGCGTCCTCCCGTCACCCAAAGCTGGGTCGACGCCGCAGCCGGAGCGGATCCCGACAATTATGTCTGGATCCGTGCAGCTGCGTGAGTGACAGCTGGCTCTGCCCATCTAGAGGCAGAGCCCGCTGTACCCGCCCCCTCCCCGTCCGTTCCGCCAGTCAGCGCTGAGCGGGGAGGGGGGAATCCAGCCCCTCCCCTGTCACGGCAGAGAGCAGTGACAGGATCGAGAAGTGAGCGAACGCCGGTATGTATTCGCTCACCTCCCGATCTACTGAGCCGACCTGTGACAGTCTCATTGTCACAGGTCGGCTAGAACTATGAGGTGAGTGAAAAGCACCCCCCTCATAGTTCTCCTTTAAGTGATCCTTCCATTAAAATGTAAAATGCCAAACGGCTCCACCTGAAAAGGAAGAGCTGGAATAGATTCCTTTCCTGTCCCAGCGGAATCCTGCTCTGTTCAATAGAAATCCTCCTCTGAAGTCTGCTGGGAAACCAGCCCTTTAGGAGTGTCGGACTCCTATGTGCCCTGCAGTGCTTCCTAGACCTCCACATCACTAAAGGATGCAGTGATATGAAGGTCAAAGGGTAGGAACCATGTAGCGCTGTAGGGGGGTGAAGAAGATCAACGTTTCAGAAGTGTTTGTTTCCCAGTTGAGGTCAGAGGAAGATTTCTATTAACTGGAATGGCTTTCTGACTTTTTATTTCTGATTTGTAAAATGTTTTATCTTTTTTTTTTATGGGGGGGGGGCTACCTAGGAAGTGAACCGTGTATTTTCATGCATGGTCGACTCTAAAGACTCTGAAGCTGCCAGACATCACTTACTAAATTAAAAAAATGGTATCTAGTGTAAAATCAGTTCCTAAATGTATGACATCACTGGGTTCCGAGTCTCATCTCTTCTATACTGCAAAGAGGAAGGGTCATTGATTGGGTGCCCCACGTCTCTGCTTGGGTGACACGGATACCTCCCATTGACTGTAAAGCCGCAGCGTCTTCTCAGGATCCAGAAAACTGCAGCAGCATGAGGATGTCATAGTAAGTAAACTAATTGGTGGCGGGACAGAACATGATGCAGGACCTTTGCTCTCCACTCCCACATGAGTTGCTGGCATGAGACACAGACAATGGATTCAGGTGAGTAAAAAAAAAAGGGCTTTAGAAGGTGGGAGGGAGCGATGGTGGGGAGGTAATATTTGCCCTGAGATGGGCTTTAAGAATTTGTAACAGGGACGTGCCGTCAAGGGAGGCCGGTGGGGCAGAGCCTCACCTAGTATTATGGAGGAAAAAGCTGTCAGCTTCAAGTCTGAAGCTGACAGCTTTTTCTCGATTCAGATCGGCATCTATCAGGTTACAGAGCAGAGAAATCCTCCCCGCTGTGTAACCTGTCATGGACGGAGCGCTGTCTGGTAATTACAGGCAGCGCTGCATCCGGCTTTTGACAGGTAGTTAGGTTGCACAGCAGCGGGCTTCCCCACTGCTTGTGTAACCTAACTGTAGGTAGGTGCAGTATGGCCAACGGCCACTAGATGCCCCCATGGGGCCCTGGAGATAGATGCAGCTCTGGCCTGGGGAAACTCTGTGTCCCAGGAGAGTTGATATATAGGGGGCGTCCGAGAGGGGACAGGGTTGTGTTCAGAGGAGTACAGAAGAAGTCTAAGACTGTCTGCAGAGTCCCTGGAGGGAGACTGTTTCTTGAATATAGGCTGGTCCATGGGAAGGACAGGACCAGGCCTAGGACTATGTAGAGCTACAAAGATTCCCTAGTTTCCCCACAGGGGGAAACCCACCGTGCTAGGACTGACAATGGATGGGATTCCGGAGACTAGTGAAGTGCTAGAAGACTGACGATATTCGCCAGGGGGCCTCTGGCCGAAGTAGACGTGGACTCTGGGCTGCACCTGGGCTGATGTACCTCTCTCTCTCTAAAGTGTATTACCTCATACTTCTACCGAAGTATGAGGTGGACTGTAACCATCAGAGAAGGGTAGGTGCGCAATGGGGCTATGCCTGACACAGGGTGCCGTTCATGGTGGCCTTTCTCCTTGGGGGGGAGGAAGCGCCGAAGACCGCAGAGGCGGTAGAAGCCATGAGGCCCTGTGTACGTAGTACTACCCGTGTGGGAGTGTTTGCACGAGGCCAAGGCCGTGGCCCCTGACCGTGGGGTGTCTGGTTTCAAGTTGCATACACGGGGTTACTCAGCCAACCCAAGAGGGAACACACACACGCAACACCCCGGGAGTGAACCCCGCCTACATAACTATTGAGGCAATAGCTGTCACAGCCTCTACTCTGTGTTAGAGGCGTGAGCTCTGTGGAGTGTTTGGACCAATGGCAAAGCGCCATTGGTCCAAGCTGTCCAATCAAAAAAAGAAAAGAACAAAAAACCCATCGATCTCGGCAGTGACGAGCAAGTGAGGGATGTGGAGGCTCCTCCCTGTCTCCTCCCTTCCTCCTTCACACTAGCTTGGGACTGGGTTGTGGACGGGGCTTCAGCGGGCCGGGCCTTTGACAGGGGCGGGGCGTGCTGGGGGCGAGGCTGGGGAATGCCTCACACGGAACCAGAGGGACCGCACGTCACTGATTTTGTACAGCTGATGTAGAAGTCATTCTATGGAGAGCATACCCTGAACCATGTACTGCTAGTCTCTAAAAAAAGAGCTTTCGGTGTATACAAAGCAGTGTATAGTCAACGACCTGCACCCATAGAGAGTAAAGTATCCAAAGCGAGGTGATAGCACACAAAATATGCCTCTGGATGTAAATAACAATCTCTACAATTGCTCCATCATGTAAAAGGTCTACCACTGTTCCCAATATTTATATTTCTTCTAGTTATGTTTCTTTATTTCAGGTAAAAGCCTTGCCCTTCGAGGTCGAGCAGCACAGTCTTCCACCTACTCCGGCTACTCCAATGCCATAAATGCCATCGACGGGAACCCAGATTCTAACTTCAACCGCGGCTCATGTTCCTGTACTCAACCCGACTTATCCCCATGGTGGAGGGTGGACCTACTGGCATCGCATAAAATCTTCTATGTCGTGATCACCAACAGAGGGGACTGCTGCGGGGAGAGACTGGACGGGGCCCACATCCTTATCGGGAACTCTTTGGAAAACAATGGGAACAATAATCCAAGGTCACTACTGGTGTTTTTTTTTGTGTGAATTTGGCTTTTCTTATAAGGTTCTGTTAATCTTAGAAAGTTTCTGCAGAGAATAAACAATGTACTAGGGAAGGGCGGAGTGTAAACCAATCAGGCTCTTCTTCATGGCACAGTACTGTTCAACTAACACTGATAGAAGGAGATAGCAGAAAGATCACCTCAGAAGTGTGCCGCACTGTCCAATCCCAAGTTGGCATGGAGCTTAGACCAGGCTGCATGGCTCAACTGCAAAACAGTGTTCAGGGAAGACACAGGGAGTGCAGAGACACAGGAGTGCAGGACCGGGCTACGCTGCCGCCTGGATCTCAAAACTGGCTAAACAAAATGACAATCTCCGTTTATTCCCTGCAAGTAGAAGAACAGAGTTACATTTTCTGTTCATGGAATGCCAGAAAATTGGGGAATTATCAGACCTTTTAAAGGTGTTCTCCAGTCACAAAAATGTGCAAAAAATATGTTGGTTCTATGCGCGGTCAGTGCGCTCCCATCATTGCCATTCGGGCTGACCATCAAAGGTCCCACTGCTTAATGACCGACAGCAAGGTGGGTCATCGCTCGGCTTTATGTCAATGGTATGAGGACAGTCTATGTGAGTGTTCTGTGTATGTTGCAGTGACATGCCGTGCCTTCTGTGCGGGGTGAGGCATCCCCCAGCCAGCCAAAGCTCCGCTCCCATCCCGCCAAAGCTCCGCTTCATCCAGCTGAAGCCCCCCAGCTTGGTAACCAAGCTGTGTGGGGAGGAGGAACGGAGGAGACAGGGAGGAGCCTCCTTGTCCCTCACTTGCTCGTCACTGGTGAGGCATCCCCCAGCCAGCCAAAGCTCTGCTCCCATCCCGCCGAAGCTCCGGCCCTGCCCCACCTAAGCTCCGCCCCATCCCGCTGAATCCCTGCCCCCAGCTCAGTAACCAAGCTGTGTGGGGAGGAGCTTCCCAGTTCCTCACTTGCTCGCCACTGATGAGGCATTGAGATCGATGTCCTCACTGAGTTTTTTTCTTTTTGTGATTGGACAGCTTGGACCAATGGCGCTCTGCTATTGGTCCAAGCCATCGACAGAGCTCACACCTCAAACACAAGGCTGTGACAGCTCTTGCCTCAATAGTTAGGCTACACAAGCAGTAGGGAAGCCTGCAGCTGTGTAAACTAACTAGTTGTCAAAAGCCGGATGCAGCGCTGCCTGTAATTAACATGGAGCAGAAGAAAAAGCTGTCGGCTTCAACATTTCCCTCCATAATACTAGTTGAGGCTCCGCCCCCCCCCGCCTCCCCTGACCGCACGTCCCTGGTATGTTATGGTCACCAAGCAACAAACTGGCTGCCGTTGAGGCACGCCATGTGTCCATCAAGTCACATGAAACTTTGGAGTGTGCCATATTGGAAAATCAGATCTTCATCAAGAAACTAGGCAGTGAATAGCAGGCACCATTTGAAATACAATCTAATTATGGAATATACCAGAGGGAAAAACTAAGGAGGTCCTTGCGACAATGCTATTACTTACATACATTATACTATATCTCTGTGAATGTTCGGATTCATCCAGGTCATGGGTATATCTATAAAAAAATAAAATAAGTCAAGGCAACTGGACTTGCTGTATTTTTCTTGAAGACTTTTCACTGGTCATCCGACCAGCTTTCTCTATTCTGAATTGGGAAAGCTGGTCGGATGTCCAGTGAAACGTCTTCAAGAAAAATTCAGCAAGTCCAGTTGCCTTGACTTATTTTATTTTTTTTATAGATATACCATGACCGGGTATACCAAATTCAGCAAGTCCAGTTGCCTTGACCTATTTTTTACAGATATTATATTATATCTTTAGTACAAGTAATATCTTGTCACTCATACGAATGAATTTTCTGCTTTCATGCAGGTGCGCAGAAATTTCCCGCATACCCAACGGCGCCACTCAAACCTTCCAGTGTAATGGCATGGTTGGCCGATATGTGAACATCGTCCTGCCCAAGAAACAGACCTATCTCCAGCTCTGCGAGGTCCAGGTGTTTGGGGATCCTGACTCCTCCTCGCCTCTGTGCTATTAAGATGACACGGTGGGCAGGGATATTGCAAAGATGTACCCAAGATGCTACAGCTGTGTTTAAGTAGAACTCC